ACACACACACACACACATGCACACTTTTTTTTTCCATCATCATTTACACTTTACGAGTATATTAAAGAGATCTGATGACATTTCTCAACATAGCCCATAGACTTGTATGGTATATAATATAACGTAACATAATATCCAACACTGTACATTTTGACATAATTCACATTAACTAAGGAATTGACTCTTTTTAGAACAAAATTCAGGGCAATCTAAAGAGGGAAAAGTTGTGCATGCACTTAACTATAGTGAAACTGGTGTTTTGACCATCTTTTGCATGCCCCATATTGCATACTGGTGCAGTGAAGTCTTATATAGAGAGCAATAGAGCGGTGATTGTGGTCGTGCATGGTCTAGCGGATATTATGGCCTATCCTAACTACCCCTTTTTATAGTCTCTTCCTTCTCCGTTAGTTCGTACAGCAGCGTTCTGATCCCAGTATAAATTTCTATTAGTTCTTATATCTTTTCCATGTAGGTCTAGCTCTTTAAAAATCTAAAGATCTTATACAAGCGCAAGAAATACAATATTATCAACTGTTCTTAAATCTTAATTCCTTTCTCAACTCCATAGAGAGGCGACTGGGCTACGGAGACAGTGATCAAAATCCCACCCAAAAAAGTTGAAGGCTGGGCCTTACCAGAAATGCCCGGTAAGAAGACATTATATATATATATATGAGTTAGAATGCCTATTAAAACACTTCAGTCACACAGCGAGCAGAACAAAATACCCCAGTTGGTCACCCAGACAGGTGTGTGACTGCAACCGATTTCTCGGGCCTGGCTGTGCCAGGTGACCGGAACAGATTATTTTCACCGGCGCTTTATTGCGCCAAGTGACCACTAGTGTTTAGAAGGCACATTAGGCGACAGAACTGCCAGATAAGGAGACAAATTAAAATTATCCAGAAATGGTAGGTTAGAAGAGTTCATGTTATTCATAAATGCTAGATAAGAAGGAAAAATTGCCAGGTAGGAATGCGTGTTTACCATAAATACTAGATAAGGAATAAGGAGGCAGGGTGACCGCCATGTTACCCAGAAAAAAAATTACGCTGTAGGGCGAGCAGTCTCCCTGTCTGCTTCAAAGTACCATACTGTCAACATTATCATTATCTTTATCATTTTCATCATAATATTTCCCCGTCCCGCCCAGGTCTGATCACCGACATCCTGGTATCCCTGGACGACCGTTTCCTGTACTTCAGCAACTGGCTCCACGGCGACATCCGTCAGTATGACATCAGCAACCGCTCCAAACCCAAGCTTGTGGGACAGGTCAGAGAGCTTCTTGGTGGAAATGTTTTAAAAATCATGAAGGGTCCGGGAAAATAATAATAATGGTGATAACAATAATATTGATAGGCCTGTAATAATAATAATAATAATAG